GCCTCCCTCCTCACTACAGAAAAAGCTGAGCAAAGGGAAAATTGAACTATTCTCTTTAGATCCACGGTGAGGTTACAGTTTGCTGCCCAAACTGAAGAATCAAAAAGGCATAAACCGAGAATTGCAACTTACCTGGGCAGCAATCTGTCCACACACCAGTGGCTATGGGAACTGGTCTCTGTGCAGGAAAATCTACATGTTAACTGATGAACTGCTGGAGGCTATAATTCTGAGAGTTAAAAACTGCAGGGGCACCTAGATATAGGGGAGTCCCAAAACTCTTGTGTGTTTTATTTCTCTTCTGGGTCAGGAGGGTGAATATTGGGAGCAAGGATCCCCTCCTATTTAAAGGCGGGGAGCAAGGGAGCGAAATTTTGAAATATACCAGTGCATTCTGCTCTTCTTAAGGTGTGCCCCAGGATGAACAATTGAACCACAGCAAACCTATAGGGACTTTCTCAAAGTCTAAATGAATAAAATGGGAGAAGGAAAATACCAACTCTAGCCTACTGTAGCCTTCCACGTGGCAGAAGGGAAGTACCTTCTGCCTCTCCCTCTGCTAAAGGCTGACTTACAGAAGTTCCTTTTATCCAGTACATCACAGTCACCAATCAAGGAAAAATTACAAGGTATACTTAAAAAAGAAAGAAAGAAAGAAAGAAAATATAGGTTGAAAAGACAAAGCAAGCTTCTGAATCAGACTCAGATTTGGCAGAGATATTGGAATTATCTGACCAGGAATTTAAAACAACTATAATTAATAGGTTAAAGTCAACATGAATAAAAGATAGAGAGGCTAAGGTAGGAAGATCACTGGAGACCAAGAAGTCAGAGACAGGGCAACATAGCGAGGCTCTGTCTCTTAAACATATAAATTTAAATAAAAATAAACACACACACAAAATAAATAAACACAACAACGAGTGAGAGTAAGAATAATGAAGAAGACACACTGTGTAAATATTAACCATAAGAAATCTCATAAGTTTCACTAATATCAAAGAAGAAATAATACCAGAAGAAGAAAATTTTGTTTACTGTTTATTTATTTATTTGTTGTAGTTGGACACAATACCTTTGTTTTACTTATTTATTTTCATGTGGTGCTGAGAATCAAACCCAGGACCTCACATGTGCTAGGTGAGCACTCTACCACTGAGCCACAACCCCAGTCTAAAGTTTTGTATACTTATTTTAAAAATATTTTTTAGTTGTAGATGGACACAATACCTTTATATTATTTATTTATGTTTGTGTTAGTGCTGAGGATCGAACCCAGTGCCACACACATGCTAGGTAAGTGCTCTACCACTGAGCTACAACTCCAGCCTGTATGCTTGTTTTTATTATATTTATATTATTATAGAAGTTAATAATAGAAGAGTCAACTCATGAAGAAAATATCGTCATCAAGCATTGAGGTCAATTAGGGCAATGAGCCAAACTGAAAGTGACAGTTAAGGACACACTTACTACATGGCAAGACAGGCAAAAGCAGCACCAGTTCCCTGGGGTTTCATTGTTCCCTTGCAATGGTCCCAGGTGAGAGTTAAGGTACATGCAGAGCAGGTGGGAAAATGCTGCACTGCCAAGGAGCCCCAAAGAAAAGGCTTCTGCGTCTTAATGGATCTGTGGGCCACGGGGCAGGAAAAGAGAACTAGGAGGAAAAAGGTAGTGAGTCTCCATGTGTCGGCAGAGTCCCCTGATAAAGAGGCTTCCCCAAGGAGTACCTGGGTTAAGAATGTAGATATGCCCATGAGGGTGGCTGTCCTGGAGTGCTGAATCCTTGATGCAACCATTCCAGGTAAATAGGATGGATTTGCTGTGCTCCAGGGTTGGTGTAAGGACAACTCTCCCCAAGGACCTGCCACGCAAAGACATGTGCTTGTCTATGGTCAGACATGAAGGGTCACACGTAAGACTTTGGCCTGGTGTGAGACTTTCCAGTGTATACAATTTACGACAAAAGTGCATGAAGCAAAAATGTATCAAACTAAAGGGAGAAATGGGCATATTATTCTTAGAGATTTTTGCATTTCCTTTTTTTAAATAATAGAACAAATAGAAAAAATATCAGTAAGGATATATATACTAGTCAGTTTTCTGTTACTATCGCAAACACTTGAGATAAATCAACTTATAAAGAGAAGAGGTTTATTCTGGCTCACAGTTTTGGAGGTTTTAATCCGTAGTCAGTTGGCCCCCCTTGCTTTGGGCCTGTTTGGCAGGGAACACATGGTAGAGCATTTACTTCAGTCCAGGAAGGTAAAAAAGAGGAAGAGAAATGGTCCAGGATCCCACCATCCTGTTCAAGGACATGCATTAAGACCTAAAACCTTCCATTAGGCCCCTCTTCTTAAAGTTTCCACTATTTCCTTAGTGCAAGCTGAGACACAGCCTCTAACATGGGCCGCTGGAGGATGTTCCTGATTCACACTATGCAGTACACTTGATCTAATAAGTGTTTTTAGAACATTACTGCAACAATTGCAGAATGAATGTCCTGTTAAAGACATGGAAGCTGAGCTATAAAACAAGTTTTATTAATAAATTTCAAAAAAGAATGAAAATCACACATAGAAATTCCCCATACTAAAGAATTTTAAAATATACCTAATAGCACACAGATAAAATAAGGATCTTAGGGAATTAGAAAGTAGTTTGAATTAAAAAAGGATAAAATCACAATATATCACAATTTGTGGAGCTACTTCTACTTCCATCCCTTGGTTCCCAGATCCAAATATTCTTAATATGATATAGTTATGAAACTGGTCACTGTTCAAAATATACATCACATCCTGTAAGATAGCAGCCCAGTCTGAAAAGACACTGTCTTTCAGATGGTCCATTGAGTCTCTATTAGCCCACGCCAACATTGTGCAAGACAGCTACTTCCAGATCAGTGATCCTCAAACATTTTTTGTTATTCTTTACCCCAACACTCAAGGAAATTTTTAAAATATTTTCCCCATATCCTGGTAATATCTAATATTTTGCCCCCAACCCAGAACCAATTTTAGCCTCTTTGGGGGACAATAGCACTCCTGTTGAGAATGTATCGTCTAAATGACATGGTGAAAAGTAATAGTAGCTAATTCCTTTAGCATAAGCTATACTTCTTTTGTTGTAAGATAGGTGTCCCTTGGTCAAAGGACAGTGCATGTCTTTTTCAGTTGGACAAACTGCTGCGTGTTCCATGATGAAAAGCATTGATAACTACACCATATGGCTCCAGAGATTAACCGATGCAAGTTCCATACAAAACCAATGTGGAGTGGATATCATGTAGTCCCTTTTCTTAATTACCTCACTGTTTTCTCCATGAGCTTTCATAAAAATTGGTTTTGGGAGTTTGGGTAGCAAGGATGGAGATGGATGGCACCAATAACAGGGACCAAGGATAGTGCAGTTTCCACCCCAGCCAAGTGCCCAACCAACAATACCAAGGTCAGCATTGAAATCCCAGTAGAGAAACATTCTCCAGGGAATTAGTAATCCACCTGGTAGGAGGTTGATTATAATGGTCCCACCCAACCTGCAACCATACCCCATTCTTACTTATTTCCCCGTCTCCAGCAGGACTCAGTACAATCTAGAATTTTTGAACTTAATGATAGTTGGTGAAAACAAGTTAAATCTGTTTTCCTTGTAGAGTTAGGGTAACCCACATTTATACTGAAGCTCTGGACCTTTTTCCACAAAGGCTGGAATCTTCTTGACCAATATCTACCTACCCTGAGACCAATAAACTCTTGATGGCCTTTTATTCTGACTTTTGATTTCACTGTTTATTATGAGAAAGTTCCCAAACATTTTGAGGATGTTTTTAAATTCATGTCCAGAAATTATGACTCTTATGGAGGAAAAAATAACTTTCACTCTATCTACTTAAAAGAAATGACCAAGGGCTTACTTTGTCATATATTCAAAAGCCCTGAAAACTTTGATATGAATTGTAAAATGGATTCAATCATCCTACAACTTTAATTCTTTATATCATCAAGAATATCATTGCAGGTCCAAAATAATAAGTTCTCAAGCAAAAATATAGTCTATGATTATAATTATGCCCTTTTTTAGGTCTGGGGGAATTCTTGAATATATGCCTTTAGATCCTTAATATCTGTTTTTGAGTGCTTAAATAAAAACAAAGTGGAATAGCAGGACTCAGTACAATCTAGAATTTTTGATTTAATGATAGTTGGTGAAAACAAGTTAAATCTGTTTTCCTTGTATAGTTAGGGTAACCCACATTTATACTAAAGCTCTGGACTTTTTTCCACAAAGAAATGATTCAGCTAAACAACATGAAGATTTTCCATTAGGTAACAGAGTCCTTTCCTGAAATATCTGTAGCCTAAGAGGCTATGATATGAGAGAATGAAGTCAGAGAATTAATAAGATCTGTACAAAGTACCCTGATCAATTGCTGCCAAGAAATATATCATAAAGGAGGGACCAAGGTCACTTTTCCTAATGTCACTCCCTCTGAGAAAGCGACTGGCAGAACTGGGCCACTAGAGCCCAAGGGAATGGGAATTTGAAGCAATTATCTCAATAATTTAGACAGGAAGGCACACTTGGGCTTTTCAAAGTCACCTATATGGGCAGAAGGGGAATTAAAATGTTTTGCATCTTGTTAGTAATTTATAAAAGTATCTTTAGGATGCACATACTAACTCATCGCACAAAAAGGAAAAATTCTATTGCTTAACAAGGTAAATTCATCTGCATTAATCATATAAATGTTTGATTTTCTTTCTATTTTCCATGATAGTGCCTTTTCTCTGCATCAGAAATACCAACAGTATATTATATTTATAGCAATTGCAAATCTCTGTTTCTAAAAAGAAAATCTTCACTAAGTAACATGACTTTTCATCTATAAGAGGAAACGGGAAAAAAGGTATTTGATATGGATATGAAATAAAGCAGAAATAGAAAAGGAAACAGTCTTATCCATATACTTTGGGGAAATGAAAAGATTTCACACAGTATTTTTTAAAAAAGTCATTTTATTCACAGGGTACATTTCCAAATTTTCTCCAAGTTAGGGAGGTAGAGAAATTGAGACTCACTGAACCTTCTCACTGCCAGCCATAATTACAATGAACGCACCAAAGAAAAGGAGATGTTTTTACAGAAAACCTTCTCTTTTGACATTACATTTAGTTTCTGTGGAAAGAAACAACTCAGCAGAGCCAACAGAGATAGATACTATTTTTTTTTCAAGTCACACTATAAAAAGTACCAATTAAAGTTCTCTTTCTTACCTGCTACATTGTATGTGAAACTCTAAAAAAAAAAAAAAAAAAAAAAAAAAAAAAAAAAAAAAGAGAAGAACGACACTGGTTTTCCCCACACTTCCTGCCAATGGAGTGTTGGCTTTAATAGGAAGATGTCCATACACATTTCAAAGGTGATTTCAATTTTATAGTTTAATCTAAAATGTTTTCCAGAATCATTACATCCATGACTGCATTATATGAAAAAAAGAATATATGAGGTTTTATTTTCTTCTTATCTCTAATCTCTGAAATTTTGGTCTCAAGAAACAGTTTGCACACATGTGCAATACTAGACTTAAGGAGACCAAAGAAAAACTCCACCCCGCCAAAATTTTTAGACCAACTATGCTGTCTGGTAACTAGAGTTCTAGAAATATTCCAGACGTTTTAAAGATGAAGCAGGCTTTTCTATGGAGCTACAGTTGCCTATTCTCTTTTTCTCATGTTTCTATGATGTACCCTAGCGGCCATCAGTCCTCCTGAATTGTGAATCCTGTATGTTATGGGAGGACTTCAATAGTGATCTACCAATGAGAAAGTCCTTGGGATTCGTGCTTGAGACTGAATGAGAGACAGCAACAAATTGATCCCTTGCTTCCTTGAATACTGGAATTCTCTGGAGAAACAAACATTCTTATTCTATGAGCTGACAGCCCCAACTCTGTAGCTCTCAATTCTATGAGCTGACAGCCCTAATCCTGTAGCTATCAGCTAAGGACCTTCCTACCAGAAGGTTCTATGACTTCAACAAAAGATATTTACATACCATTATCAGACTTCTCCAAGGCCTATATACTATTGTGCATTTCTATAAAATAGTCACATTTGCTACATTTATAAGAGTTCTTGCTGATGATAAAGGTACAACTTAGAAAAGACATGGTGACATTTGTAATGTGACAACATACATGGAAATACATAAGGAAGTGGGAGCCAAGCCACGGTTAAGGCACACTCTGCCACTCCCCACCCCAATCCAATCAGTCTTCTCCCTTTTTTCCATGGGCATATTTAATGTGAGGTACGGGGGTGTGTGGGGGGGTACATGCATGTGTAAACACAAATGTACGCATGTTTTCTCATACTCTAGAACAGAGAAGGAAAATGTATACAAGTCTGCTTATGTAATCATCCAAGAGCCTCTGGTGGAAGTGCTTGTGAGAGCAGGAGAGTAAGGAGAACTCTAACCATGCAGACCACGTGGTGACTGTGTTCCAAAGGGTCAGGTTCAAAGTGTCACTTCTGCCTATCACTGTGTCATCCTGACGGGAGATCTAAATGATAATCCTCCTTTGGGAGTAGGTGCCAAAGTGCAGATGACAGAGGGCTATGAAAATGAGAGTGTTTGCTTCACGTGGCCCAGACACCAAGGAAAGCACCACAGGAGGTGTCAGGCGTGGGAGGGCTGCAAGCCTGCCAAGGTCCTGTGGGTGGACAGGAGCTGCTCCTCTGTCCTTGTCCCAGTGCCTTGCAATCTGGCCCATACACTGATTTCCCCTAATATCTTTTCATTCTTACCCCTAACAGCTGGATGACAATATATTTCCTGTAAAATATTTTGAAAAGGTTCTATTCTTGAGACTGCATGCAATGTCCAGACCCTCTCCCTTGCATCCTTGTGCTCTGTTTAGCTACCTTCTAAGACCTCGCCCAAAGGTACTTTCAAATTAAAACCATGACATTCCCCCTTTTTTTTTTCCTTTTCAGTTAAATCATTTTGGTTAAACCATTGAAAATTATTAGCATAATTTTTTTGTTCCTCTTACTGGGCAGAGAAAAAACAGGCATTATCTACCTGATTTTTTTCTGCCCTGGATTAAATCACATCTCTTTGATGTTTATTGGTATGGTGTGAAACACACATTTCAAAATGACAAATATCTGCAAAAAGTCTAATTACATAGAAGCAGTAAGAGACAGAATCAATATATTTGGATATTATTCTATAAAACTCCCAGACAGCTTTGTGTCATTGATTGGATCCCACAGTTCCAACTGAAAGGCAGAATCAGTAAAAATTTTAGCACAATGTAGGGATCAGTAGGAATACAGAGATAGGTACATGAGTGACCATAAAATATAATTCCTCTTTTGTGCTTTAAAAAGTTATAGTCATGGGCTTTGTATATTACTCAATTTCTCACAGATATTATAAATCCATCTTTAACATGTTATTTTATTCCTTAGGTGTTAGAGATAAAAGAAATAAAAAATGCTGTCACCAGAAAGAAGAAAACCAAAAGAAGGAAAGAGAAGTATTTTTCCTTATTGAACACAAGCTGGGTTTGTATTGTTTGAAGGTTTCTATTCATGCATATATTCCAGTGTCTCATCTTTTGAATGCACATGAAAATGTCAAACGACAAGCCAAGGATGAGGGTAAAGGCAGAGAATATCCATTTTCTTATAATGGGAAGAAAAAAATCCTATAAGTTCAAGTCTCCTTCCACTTCAAAAATGATGATTTTATAGTGCTTAACCTAAATATTGTGGCCTCATATTTGGAAGTTAATAGCCAGATATTCTGAGCTTCAGAATTCTAGTGAGTTATTTTCTAGGTTTGTCAAAGAGGCTAATAGGAAGAAGTGGAATATTTGATATCTCCCTCGCTTTACAGACTCCAAGTCCATCTAAACAGGAAAAAAAAAAGTTCTATTTTTTCATAATCATTGGCAGGGCTATATGTAGGTCAGGGTGTCCAGACTCTGCCACGGGGTACCCAAATTTAGAGAGCACAAGTGAAGCAAAAACAAAGCAAAACAGTTTAAGGCAGTGCAAAATTTTAAGCTTCTCAGCAAATTTCCACACCGCCTCTCTAGTCTCATGCTACTAGCTTGACCCCAGAGTTGAGCCAGCATCTCTGGCAGGAGAGAGACAGATGGTACTGGAGAGCCAAGGGCAGCGGGGAGACTTCTCTGACCCCTTGTATGCTGAGAGCTTTGGAGGAAGGTCACCTCTTCCTTTCCACTTGCTTCACCCTTTCCCTAAAACATGATGGAATGAAGTCACCCAACTTACTAGGTCTGTTTACTGCTGACTTTGTTAGACACGTTCATCTAAGTAGCAGGTGCCTTGAAATTGTGAATTCACTTGCATCCCTCATGTATGCACCCCAAAAGTCAGGTCATCTGACAGGCAACATTTGCATTGGGATGATAAAGAAATAAAAAGCACAGTATTACTTCCAGTCCTTCTTTCCCCCACATACTTGTCCCCAAGTACATGCAAAAATCCCTACAGCTCTTGACCTCTGGAATTCTACAAATTGAAAGTTGATATTATCTGGTGCTGATGGGAAAGTATTTAGGCAACACCACAGCACTTCCAGAAGGTCTCAGTGGGTTGGTGACACTTTTCCCCTCCATCAGTTAAAATTTTCACGAAGTCAGTATTTCAAACATAGGAGTTAAAACTATAGGGGTGGGGGGAGTGAGTTTTTAAACAAAGAAATGAGGTTATATAAAATAAAGCTATAAAACTGTCATAATTCCTGAAAAGAAGAATGTTGCTGATGTTGTCTCCATTTTGGATCATCTATACCACTCCTGTCAAGACGTGGACTAATCTAAGAATATTTGTGGCACATTGAAGATTCCCAGGATGTCTTCAGTTATTTTCCATTTAAACCACATGATCCAGACTGCTTTGGGTACGAGTTATATTTAGCCTAATCAAATGTTTAGTTCCCTAAAGTGCATGAGATATCGCAAAGCCAAACAAAGGATATTGTCTAAACATCTGCCATTTTGGATCATTTATTTTCTACCTTTGCTAAAATAACTAAACTTATACAGAAACAAAATCTGATGAGCACTTCCCTAACTTCTTGTGTAAGAATTACACAGTTTAAATGCACAATTTTGTATAACCTTGTGATAAAATGATCTCTATGCTGGGCACAGTGGCACACGCCTATAATCCCAGCAACTCTGGAGAGGCTGAGGCAGGAGAATTGCAAGTTCAAAGCCAACCTCAGCCAAAGCGAGGTGCTAAGCAACTCAGTGAGACACTGTCTCTAAATAAAATACAAAATAGGGCTGAGAATGTGGCTCAGTAGTCGAGAGCCCCTGAGTTCAATCCCCAGTACCAAAAAAAAAAAAAAAAAAAAATGCTCTCTATAAAGCAAAAATGTCCAGAAGACCTCTTCCACAAACAATCTTTCATATAAAACATTACTACTCTTTCCTATGGAATGACTTAATCTTTCATCTATCTTAATTATACTGAAGTGTGGTTAAAATTAAACAGAGACAACTCTTATTCACGATCTTCAGAATCAATTCTCAAATTGGGGCTAATAAAAATGAGGGTACTCATTTGTCATCTCTCCCTCCTTCCCTTTGCCCCCATGAAGCGATCTAATTTTTGTCGACTTAAATTTTGAAAAAAGAAGTTAAAATATTAATCTAATGGTATAAAGGAATACCCTCTTTTGGCAGATACATTGAATGTGATTAAACTTTCTTTCTGGATGTGTTTTAAATAGCCTAAATGTCTTCTAAGCTGAATCTTAAGTGTCAGAAATATTAAAATTGACCAAATTCGGTAAACTACCAGGCCCAATTTTGAAAAACTTAATATCATATAAACAAAATCAAATTACGAGACTTTAGAATTCAACTTCTTAGTGGTAATAGAGTATTACTACACAACTCTCCAGGACAATTCTAGAGAAATTCTTACTTAGAAATACATATACTTCAGTAAAGACAGAGATGAATGACTTCATGCTACACACACTTACACACATTTCTTGTTTAGAAACATTCATCTAAACAAGTAAAAAAAACAAACAGGTATATGTGTGGCATACCTATGAACTATCACCTTTACAAAAGAACGCTTAACCATAATCTACCCTAAGAAAACATTATCATTAAATTGTAGTCATACTTTAGTATGAGCATGTAAATGAAAAGAACAATCAAATTTTAATTTTGCTCTAATCTAGGGTTTCTCAACCTTGGCACTACTGACATTTTAGACTGGGTAATGACGTGTTGAGAGGCTGACCTATGTACCTTAGGACATTTAGCAGGATTTTTGGCTGCTACACACTACATGTTAGTAGCATCCTTGAGTCATGACAATGAAAAACGTCTCCAGACATTGCCGATGACACCAGAAGGAAGAGGAATCACCCCCGTTGAGAAGCATAGGTCTAATCAAACATTGCCAGTCCTGGCCACTTCTGTTTTGCGTTTCAGAAGTCACATATAATAGTTTAAAAACTGTATAGACTAAAATTATATCGTTATCTTTTGTGCATGTACAAATATGTAACCAAAAATCCTTCTATTACATATAATTGCAATGCACCAAAAACTTAAAAAATTATAGACTAAATATTGTACAAATCTATACATAAATCTATTCCAGGAATCATAACAAAAAGTAAAACTTCCAGATAGCTTTTCAACAGAACTGTGAGGTATGGGCTTTATGAACTCATTAATTTCATTTTAACAATTAATGTACTAATTTGAATGTCACATTTAGTTAATTTTTATGTGTGTTCTTCATTGGCCCTTTTATATTTTTAATGAAGTATATTGTTAAAAATGTATTCCTTTTTCAATCAATTATTAAATAATAACAATAGTTCAAAAAGAGGAAATATATTCAGGAGTGCATATCAGTGAATATTTAGCACAGCTCACTCATAGTAACTTCCCATTACGTTCTGCTGCCACACAAGATCAAAAGAGTAAATTAGTTCTGCATAGAATTGACATTCTCAAACACTTAACTTTCTAAGTATCAATTTAATCTGTGTAATGCCAATCAGATTTAAAATGTTAATTTCTGTAATAATTTCAATATTCAACCCCAATTAGAAATTTCCTACTCCAATGATGTAGGATTTTTCCAAAGTCTTTGTTAATGTTGGTATCTTGTAAATTAACTCACTAAAAAAAAATCCCACTTGTTTTAGTCTATATGGTATGCCAAGTTTCTACCATTAAAATCGTGGTAGAACTTTTTGGTACAGTTTACCAACATTTTGATGATATTTGAAAGAATAAAGATAATGAGTTCATGTCTCCTTTTAACATAAGACATCTTAAAGCACAAAGACAGTGAGAGATTTCCTTTCCCTTATATGGAAACATATTTGGCAACTTACAATAACAGCAGGTTTTTCTTTCTGTATGTCAAAAGCTGCTGTAATCCTCCCTGTTATTAAGGAAGTAAGTAGCTACTAATTCATATCAATTTGCTTGTATGAAACATGCCTTGAGGGACCATGCTTAACATAGGGCCCATTCATGAGATTTTGGTGGGAATCAACGAATAAAACAATTCTGCTCTTTCTAGAATAAGTGTTTGGGGGTTATACTTGCCTTTTGTGCTGGTATGACAAGCAGCAACCAATATACTCGCATGTCTAATATCTGCAAGTTGTGTTACCAAACAGTTTATACGTAGCTCTCTAAAACTGATTTTTGCCATACCAAGTCATGTGGGTATAGCATTCATAGTTACACAAGAATGAGCTTTATCTCTGTGTAGTGGGTGTGAGAGCGTACATGTCTATATGCATGGGTGCATACATATGATGTATCTTGGAGTGAATATATTATGTTAGATAGGAAAGGGATCTGCCTTCTGGTTCATCTTCCACAGATGCTCACCTTATGTCACTGTGCTTTACTTCATCTCTGAACATTACATTATGGAGGCATTTATGCCATTTACAAATGAGTATTCCATATGTACTCTTTTTGCACTAAAATAATGATAACAATGCAAACAGGTTTACATAATGCAGACCTAAAATCGAATTCACATCTTAAATTCTGAGGCAGGAAAGTGGCTCATGTTATCCAGACTATGAATCAACACAGTCTAAATTCAACAATGCTTCACATTGTCTAAGTAGACTTGACAAAAGGGGAAGAAACAAATCTTATTTAAAGTTTTAGAAATGGAGGAGAACTATAGTTAATGTAGACTTGGTTCAACAAATCACAATAATCAGTTACAGCATTTTGTATCCTTATTACTCAATAAGGGATTTTTTAAAATCTACCCCATCATCTACCCACTGCGGGATTTTTTAAAATCTACCCCATCATCTACCCACTGCCCCTAAACAGGGCAAAAAATAAATTATAATTTTTAAAAACCTACAGTCCTAATGCTAGTCTTAATAAGACAGGTCTTTTAAAATTATTATGAGCCAGCAACACTTTTGCCCTGGCATTTCCTTTATTCCTCCTTGATTAGTTCCGTAGCCTCAACAACTAGCATTCATCTTATTTTTGAATTGCATCTTCTAGATATGAACCACACATATGTGCTTTACCAATGTCATTGCATCGGCATTTTATGAGTTGTAAATTCACCATGTGCTGTAGAACGTTTCACAGGATGTTTCGTTTCTTCTTTGTCCTCCAAGCTGTCATTAAAAGTAGAGTTTTGCTTGGGTTTTTGTTGTTCTTCTCTTCTTTTTCCAAGTAGCCCATGCAAATCCATGAAAAACTTGACCATTCTCCTTTGGAGTCACATAGAAAACCTAACAAAAAGACCCTGGCTCAGTCCTCTGTCTCCTTCCACCGTCCCTAGGAAGTGGGCTGGAGCGAGGGCTCCTCACATGGGTCCAGCTGCATTCGCAGTGCACCGATTTTATGAAGATACCAGAGTTGGAGAAATTCCTCAGGCATGGCATGGAAGCCAGAGGAGGGCAAGACGTTGTCATAGTAGTGGTGGCTGATGGGCTGCTCATGCATATTCACAGAGAAGGGCCAGAAGCCATAGATGGCCACCTCTTCACAGAGGCCCAGGGCTGCACTCACCAGGAAGAGTCCTGTGGACAGGCGCTTGGCATGGATTCCCCTACTTTTCCAGAACTTTCCAATGCTACGAAGAAAGTTGGGGTTGGCAAAAAGCACTGTTTGATTGGCACCAACATCTGACAGTGTATAATAAACACGGAGAGATGGCTCTGTTCCCGTCTTCATAGAAAAGGCAGGCATGTAGATGTAACTGTGGTTATAGATTTTCATGTTGTCCACAAATGTCTTTCTGGACCATAGCAGGTTCTGAAACCTATTAGAGAGAAGAGGCTCAATTAAACCTCAAGAAAAAGAAACATTAAAATCCACTCTTCTGTCTTCTGATGGCTCAAATCATCTCAGCAAAACACATGAAAAATACTTCACTTGTATTTAAAATCCCTCCTTGAACTTACCGATTATCTCTTACAAGAAGCCTGGCTTTCTCCCACCCAATGCCTTAAATTCAACTTAACATTCCCCGATGGAGTTCTTCTGAACTAAAATGCTTTGTACATTTTTCTCTTTTCCAAAATGTATTTACCTGGAATGTAAAAGGATTTAATTCTCATGAATTCCTAAAATTTGTTGAGGGTCTAATGAAAGCTACATGCATGGTCTAATATCAGAATAGGAGTGGTTTCCTCATCGCAAATCAAAAGAATCTCTTCCAAGACACTTCTTCCCATTCAAACTCCATGATTCTATAAGCGTTTAGTTAATCAATGTTATAACGAGGGTCTCACAACTTTGGAATATAGTTCATGCAAAGGCAGCTGCCCATCTTTAGTGCAGGTTATATAATATTATCCACGTATAATAGTACATGGAAAAAGAAGGACTTCTAAAATGGTGCAGAGTTGCCCATATTGCTTGCTCCAAAGAACTCGACTTTGCGATGCTCTTTCAGTTTTGATTACATAAAGAGGCCCTCAGTTCCAAATGTATTCAACTAAAATTTAAGGTATACTTCCTATGTGTCAGTAGAGAAATGAAAAATTAATGAACCAATTTTGGGTCTCAGGAAATTCAACTCCCGCTGTGGTAACAAAAATATTAATGAATACAATATGATACTCCAAATGTAGTGGTTGATATTTGTATAAAGTAGAACAGAGATGGGAAAAAATATTCTGCCTGTAAGACAGAGCTGGGTCCAAGTTAGCTACAGAAAGGGGCAGTGTTTGAAGACACCTCCTCAGGAAAACAATAGAAAGAGTGGCAGCTAATCCAGAAAGGAGGGTGTGTGGTCATGGGCAGGTATACTGCAACAATGACAGAGGTCATTGTCCCTGGACTTTGGGAGATAGGGATAGTGGGGACAGTGGTTGAAGACATGAAGACAAGACATGCTGCAAAAACCCTTACATGTCTCTCCAATTTGTCTAGATATCACTCTGGCGATGGGGAACCTTCCCAGCAGTGGCTACTTACTACAGTTGTCAGACTGCATCAAAAAAATATATAATGTATAGAAGATGATCTTGGCAAGGAAGAGGTTGGCAGCTTGGAGATCGGGCAAGAAGCTGCCAATGTAGCTCAAGAAGGGAAGGAAAGAAAAAGGAAAAGGAAAAAAGACAATCCAGGAGACTAGGTCTTGTCTTTGGATTTCTTCGCAAATCCAAACTGCTCGTTACCAGTTACATGCAGGTGAAGCAATAGCATCTATGACAAGAACTGAGCCACAACTAGCAGGGGGAAGTCCCTGACATGCTGAGAGGCTCATTATAAATATTTGAAATTAAAACTCTGAATATACAAATCCATAGAATTTTATGTAGTAATCAGTGTTATTTATTCTGCCTGCCAAGAAACAAAGGTGTGTTTCTCAAGCCCAGAAGGAAGGAAAATCTCTCTGTTTTTTTTTCATATCCTTGATCTAGCAGCTGCTTTTGGTAATTTTCCCTGTGCACAGACAAATAAAGAAGTAGTAACAGGGTCTTTCAGAAGTACCACTTTACCCTAGCAGAACCATGGAAGCACAGTCAACCATGTTTTATAGCTGAGTCAACCCCGCGAACAAGGCAATAGATTCTTGCTTCCCAACTTTGACATGGGATCTGCTCAGCAATTCTTTTATTTCTTCCATATCCACCCATATCTTCTGCTCTCTTCCTTAAAACATTAATGCTTTCCAACCATGTAGATAACCTCCTACTTCACTGAAGAATAGTTCTCAAGCTCTAGTTAGAATAAACTAGACAGTTCACTAAAATCAACTTCCTGAGTTCTGACAAGAATGATCCAAGGGTGGAATTTTTATCCAGTAGTCTCTGGTGATTCTGATAGAGATGTCTATGAAATAAACTTATTTAGAAGATCAAAACATCAATGTGAGATGCCTAGCTTTATGCATCTGTCCCTCAGTACCTCTTTCTTTAAATCTTCTAATTTTATCTCTGCTACCATCCTAAGAGGAAGAAACACTCTCTCTTCCCCTTTGTATCTTGGGACACGTTGTTTTTTTTGTGTGTTTTTTTTTTCACACTTCCTAAAGAACTCATGTTCTAAAGTAGGTTCTCCTCTTTGAATATTTAACTGTTTCACCTCTACTAAACCATTTTCCCTGTCTTCTAAACATGTTTAGAACTCCCCCCTGAGAGCTTTATTGAAATATATTTTACAATTTAAAAATGTGTATATTTAGGGTGTGCAATGTGATGCTTACCACATCATGTTAGAACTTACTAAGAGAAAGCTCTTGATATGCCCACACTGTTCCCTGAGCTACATTTTGTTCTCTCATGTCACTATCAACATTCCAAGAGCAGTTAGATATACTTCTATTGCCTTTCATTCTTGCAACAGTATACTCCCTCCTTATTACTGTCCAATTACTCCTATTCCCCAGGGCTTTGTTGGCTCATGGAACTGATAACTTTTATCTCTGCAGGGGACTACACATTAGTAGAGAATTACTGGGGGGGGGGCTTCAATAAAATCATGACAATTGATTTTGTTTCCTATAGTATAAGCTGACTGGTTATTCTTGAAAGGGATGGTCTTTCCTCTTAGAAAATGAGCTCCATCTTTAATTTACTATAATCTCAATTTTATGGACATTGTCAAACAACCAGTTTATCCATTATATTTCAGCGTTTTTATTTGTCCCATTCTTCAACAAATGATTTTAAGGACTCAATTTTATAATTATTTATGGCCTATTACCCATGTAATTAATATTTTTCCTGGTCAAGAGTTTAATAGAATTAGTTATGAATTTTACTAAATTATAATAAAATTCCTCTGGAATGTAAAAGACTGACACTCAGCTTGTCTTCATGTCCTTCCCCTGTGCTCCAGCTATACCTGTGTGCACACCTGTTCATAGATTCCGTTCTGTTCATTCATTCATTTCCCTGGTGAAATTCTACCTATAAATCAACACTCAACTTCATCTTTTTCTTTTTAGGGCATCTTTCTTTCTTCTACTTTAAGCATTTGTAAATTCTTTAAATGAACTGATCATATATATCCTTTAAGATTATGAACTCATTGAGACAAAGGACATGTCTCATTCATCTTTTAATTTTTATATTCTAGCTCAGATGACTTGTGTGCTGAATAAATGGAAAGTAATTGAATAATAATTGAAAAGAATAAAAATGAAATTTAATTAGCTTATGAATTATTAAAATAGAAATTATTAATATATAATGAATATGGGCATGAAGGAAAAACCCATCCAAAGAGTAGAGTGAAAACACAGAAATACAACATATCTTAAAAATGAATTTAAGATGATATAATGGAGATAAAATCAACGATTTTAAAAATTATTCAATAAAAGGTATTAACACGACTAGTATCCGTTTGGAATTTTGAGGTGGAATAGATTCAGGCTTCACAAGAAAATCACAAAATAGTTTCAAGATATGTAAGAGAAATATTTTAAATCTACAATATAAGAAAACAATTGCAGATTTAGACATTTGCAAAATATCTTTCAACAAAGGAAAATGTTGACAAAATTGATATGTCAAGGTGTGAAATTTCATTACCATGAAAAATAAAATAGCTAAAATAAAAATAAATTAGTCTGAAAAATATTTACAGCAAATTTGATAAACAGAAGGCTTATATTTAGAATATTATAGTCTAAATATATTGATATTGACATATTGATATGAAAATTTAAAAAAACAAACAAGCTAAGAGTTTCAATTAGCAAAAATATTAAATCATTTTGGTTATGAATTGCTAATTAGGATGTAAAATTGAACAGAACAGAGAAATGATGAGGGTTCATTTCTCCCTTCCTACACTAAATCTCCGCAACTAAGAGAAAAGATGTTTTTGAAAATATGTACTCATAAAAAAGAAAAGAAAGCAAACCCTCAGTGGATCTCAATCTGGGTTACCTCTGAAAAACAGTCTAGGCATAGGCAGTGCCCTATGCCTAGAGCAGGAGATATCAGGAAAGGTGGGTGTCTTGGAACAACTGGCCAGGGTATTGTTCAGATTATGGGGAGGCTGGGACATCCAGATGGGTAAAACCCTAAGATCTTTCATTGGTCAATTATCACTGTATGTGTGGGAGAGGGTGTCGGTCTTCGGGCAGGGACATTGGGTGCATGCCGAGATATGGATCAGCCAAGGGTTAACTGGGAACTCTCAACTCCCACAATATCCACAGACAGGCTGAGACTCCCAAGTGGAAGGATGACACTCCACCAAGAGAAAAGACTTACAGATAACAACATTTAGGAGCCACCCAAGAGGAAGCAACCTTGCCACTTTCTCAACTCAAAGTAAAGTTTACCCTTCAGCAAGTGCAGTGTCTGCATAGAGTTTCTAGATCTAAAGAACCAGGATCAGAAGACAATGAAGGACAGCCTCTGACCCAAGAGTCTGAGATCAAACTGGAAAAACAAACGCAAAGAAAACCAAGATCATTCAATGGGCAGAAAAAAAAAAACCTCTTAAAAATCTATAATTAGTTTGTTTAGAAATATTAATTGCCATTGCATTCGGACTTGGATGCTATAAAAAGAAAAAAAAAACATTTAGGTAATAAGAAAGAGCTGCTGTCCAGTTAAAAAAAAAAAAAAAGAGCAACAGATGAATTCCGGTAAAGAAAAGCTTCAGGAAAACAGCTACACAGTAGGCCTAGAAAGCCATCCATCAGATTCTGGTGAGCAAAAAGGACAGCTCCAGGATGGATGTCTCAACAACAACAAAAAGTGCCCCTGACAGACTAATGTGTTTGGCAATCAAAAAGAAGAGCTGCGGCTCCAAAGGGAGATGAGCCATGAATTACTGCTGCATGAAGAG